TCCTGCAGACTGAGGTGATCAGTAGTCTCCTGCATGATGAGAGCAAATAGGCATTTGCAGCCTCTGATAGCTCCTGCTGCCTGAAATCCATGAGGGACACAGGGAGTGAGAAGGGTGTGAGGAAACAGGGAGAATGCTCCGCAGTGCTGTGAACACAGGGCGCAGTATCAAAAGTGTTTCTCTGCAGTTTCACCCCAAACCCCAAGAGAACCCGTGACTGAGAGTGTCACTGGGTCCCTGGACCACTTCTGGCTCTTCTCACAAATGGCAGACAGTGCCCATGGCCTGGTCACCAGGTCATACTGAGGAGCTTATCAGACATGTTTGGTTGCTCCAGTTGAACACCAATTACACTATATACTGCTTTCATTTCACCACATTTACCGCATGCCCCTCAGAAACACCAATCTGTGCAGATGATGCCATGTTTTCCCACATCATTGGCTTGTGTTTATGTGGACAGCCTCAGTCTCACCTCACAAGGGAAGAAAGAAATGGCTTTCATGGCAGAAAACAAACCTAAACCAGTAGCTGGATGCATGCTGCTGTTAGTGCTTTGATGTGTGCCAGCAAATTCCTGCTTGCCTAGAAATACTTCTGGCCCTTCCCTTCTCCAAGACCCAGTTAGGACCTGTCCCACTCCTTTGATCTGCATCTCTGCCCTACCTGTGGGATAGCTGCAGGACCTGGGGAGTGTCTGGGCAGAAGGCAGAGGCCCTGGAGGGCTGCTTTTGTTCCCAGAGCTTCTCTTACCTGCGGCTACAGAGGTGATGGTGGTTAAATGGATAAATACACTAAAAATAGGAGACCAACAGAAGAGAGATGCATGATATATACTTCTTGGAAGACAGGTGAGCCTCAGGAGAGTCTGTTTTATACTCTCCAGATGGACTGCCAGATTGCAGCTCTGTCCCATGAAACAACCTGAGAGCCCAGTGTTTGCACTGCAGAACATCTCCCCGAGGCAGGGTAAAGCAGCTGCCTCCTGTCACTGGGGACTGTGCACTTTCTTTAAATGTCTCAGCTCAGCTGAAATACCTCAGGACTCTTCAGACACAGAGGCACCTGACAGCAAATGGCACCCTGCCTCCCCCAGTGTGTGTATCCAAAGGAGTCTGGCTGGGTGTGGCAGGAGCAAGATTTGGAAACGCTTGTGAAGGTTTTAGCATGTGTGAGATGGGTGGTTTCCTATCATCAAAAGAGTGGGCATTTGCTCTCTATCTCCTTCAGTTCAGTTGAATAGGGAACAAAAAAACCCTCTGGTCCTTGCAGTTACACATGGTGTGCCCTCAGCCAGGACCCGGCATGCACTCCTACCTTGGCTGTGATCAAATCTTTGTTTTCTTGCAAGTTAGAAATAGCTTCAGCAATCCTCATGTGAATGGTCCCTATTACTGTGTCCACGTTGTACGGTCCATCGATCCGATCGGCCACCACAATCAGGGAATCTGGTGAAACAAGGCAGAGACATCTCTCATCATCAGACTGTACAAACCAAGGTAAAGATCTCACTTGTGTGGGTGGAAAAAGCTGATCCCTCAGCAAGGCTTGTTGGGACACATCTCTCCATTTTCACTACTGCCCAGGTGTGTGCTCATTTTCCTCACTTTACCGAAGCGAAGCCACTCTCTGTGGCAGAGGAACAGAGGTCACCTCCTGACAAAAAGGCCAAGCACAAAGCTTATCTCTTCTGGTGCCTGCAAACAAACATCAAGGCTCCCCAACCTGAGGACTGTCACTCCAGCCCTACATGCACAACCTGGGGGTGAAAGAGGAGCTTGCTGGGTGATGCTCTGTGGGCACAAGGAGGATAGGAGCTCAACCACTGCAAACAACTTCCCCTGAGCCTCTAACCATCCTTTCTTTACTTGCCAAACACTGCCTCAGAGTTCAGAGGGTGCTGTGAGAGGCAGCTGCGCTGCAGCAGAGGAAGGCCACTTACCCATCAGGTACTTCCACTCGGTGTTCAGGTCTGCCTGGTTGGCCAGACAGCCCTTCACGACGTTCAGGCAGTAGTTGTTGCACGGCTTCACGCTGGACATGCCCCGGCAGTGTGGGCAGTACATCAGCTTCATGATGGCACGAGTGCATTCGTGGCTGAGGGATACCTGGGGAGACAGATCAGAGTCAGGCACACAGGCTGGTATGGGGCATGTGGGGGGGAGTCCCCTTCCCTGGGGTGAAGGAGCTTGGTGTGATCTGAAAGGCAGCATGGCTTTCATGTGTCCCCGGGGTGAAGGAGCTCGGTGTGATCTGAAAGGCAGCATGGCTTTCATGTGTATGGCCCTGGGAAAGATGCTTCCCCTCTCACTGCCACTCCTTCCCCCCACCTTTCCCCAGGTGTCACTCCTGTTGGAGAGACAAGACCTCCTCAAGCTGTGTTTGAAGCCAGGTTTCTGGGAAAAACCTACATGTGGGCACCATCTCCCTTCCAGCCAGGTCTGGAAGCCACAGGGACAGCCTAGGCTGTGCACCACCCGTAACCTTGATCCCTGTGTGGTGCACGTGTGCACCCCTGGAGCCTCTGCAATCAGTGCCACCACCGTGCCCCTTCTGCAGGAAGGGTTTGTTGGCACTGCCCTCAGACACAGGTGTTCCACCACAAACTGCATCTCCGGCTTCCTGCGGGGACACACAGCAGGGCCCTGGACAGGAAAGTTCTCAGCTGGCATCTTTGGAAAGGAGAATGGTGTTGGGGGAAGACTTGCACAATTCCAAAAATACGAGCAATTGAGAGTACTTGACACTGGGAAGTGATTGCTCTCTGCGAGCACTTCAGGAGCCACAGGCAGCACAGGCCAACACACACCATGCCAGCAGGCACTGCACGTGCAGCCAGTGCTTTGCAGAGCTGACTCTGGAGGTGGCTTTGCCACCTTTAATTAACCCATCCCGGTCCCTCAGGCACAGAGCCAGCACAGGTGCAGAGCCCAGAGAGCACATCAGAGTCTCCCCAGACCGTCAGCCACGGGGGAGAGGTGTCCCTTCCAACTGCCATGGGCAAGGGGCTCTCAGTGTACACTGAGGGGTTAATAACAACCTGGCAGACCCTGCAGAAATGCTGGCAGAGCTCTGTGCCCCCTGTCTTGTTGCTAAAGTGTTTTCTCCTTTGTGGTATTTCCCCATCTTTACTCAGATCCATTTGCAATTCTCTTGTCAATCTTTTAAAACCATTTATAAAAATAAACACAAGTGTCCACACACAAGTCTCCCTTGGTTCCAGGTACTTGACACTCACAAGGAGCCCAGAGGGGACAAAAGTGATGGAAGGGGCAAATCCTGACATGGACAAATCCCTAAGCCTTGAGCTGCAGCTGCAATGCTGAGAACTGCCCCAATCTCTTCACTGCTTGTGAAAAATAATATGTAGCCTTCTGGGGGACTCCAGAAGGATTCAGTTCTGAGGTACCTTTGGGAGAGCGTGAACATGCTGAGTCCAATGTGAGAGGTTGTGAGAGAAAATCCCTAAGCATCCCTGCTCCTGAGACTGCCTCCCTGGTAACACCCCACTTCCAGTAAGCCTCAGAAAACAGATGCTGGATGGTGCTGAGGCAGAAATGCATTACAATAATCTCCTGAGAACCTTCTTCAGGACGAGGACAAAAAGTTCTAGATTTCAGAGACAGAACCCAAAGGGAGGCTGCTTCCCTGCC